ATGTCCTTTTACTGTTTTTCACTATCCCTTGAGTCACATACTGTGGAATAATGAATAATTACTCCATCATGATTTATATTTTGCATAAACAGTTTTATAAGGATTTGGGAAAAAAGCTATATAAAATGTGCTTTGACTATAGCACACTAACATTCTAAGTATTTTAATGTCCTTAATTGAATATTAAATTTTAAAATGGTGGGGGAGAAGACCACAGAATCAATGAAAGTTATATGCAAATAATCTCAGAGGCCATCTATCCCAACCTACTCATTTGAAAGAGAAGGAAGCTGGGAGGTAGCACGATTAAGGGACTTCCTTCCAATATACTGCTAACTAGGTGAGAGCAGATTGAAAATTTATAAGTCAAGTTTTCTGGCACCTGATACTGATGACACATGATGCCATCCTGGACTTCATTCTGATGACGCGTAACTTCAAGACTGCGTGTGATGACACACACTCAAACTATGTTTACTTAAAAGAGACTGCAAAGGTTTGTCATTGTCTTGAAGAAAGCAGTTAATGACCACTGTCTCCTCCGAAAAATCTCCCGTATTGGAGTATTACAAAATACTCAACTTTTTTTTAATTAATTAATTTATTTTTTCAAATACATTTGTCTCTGCCTACCCCCCACCACTTTCCCTTGAAAATATTCAACTTTTAAATACCTATACCAGTTTAGTTAATAAAAGAAGCAAATGCTAATGGATTAACAAAGCCTTCTCGCGGGGTACAAGCAGCCACTCACTCCCGTGCTGCCTGCATGGCCACGAATGAGCAAGCTGTGCACAGCCCCCTCATCTGAAACAACGAGGGCAGTAGGTGGGAGTAGGTCAGAGAACAAAACTCTGCTCGTCGGGCATTCAGGCAGCCTGCTCAGCACCAAAGACAAAGCCATGAGCAATCACAAATGTCATTCAACTCATAATTAAAAGAAACCAAAGGAAGGCAAATCTAGGAAGCTGGTTCACAGGTCAATTCCTAAAGTCAACAGAGAGGTCTTTTAACCCAAAGATCATTCCCAAGACTCGTTATCTCACTAGGTTACCGCACCGTACCACATTTTCAGAGCTTGCTGACATTCCTCCCCGAGTGTGGAGAGGATGCGACGGCCATGACTCAGCTGTGCAACACAGCTCCATTTAGTTTTTTCAAAGTTAGATTTTTATTTTTACTATTTTTTCCATTTAATCATTTTTTATTTTTCAATTACAGTTTAGATACAATATTATATTAGTTTCAGGAGTATACCCCAGTGATTAGATACGATACAGCTTACTAAGTGATACCTCAATAAATCTTATACCACCATACAGTTATTAGAACATTAATGGCTATATTTCCTATGCTGTACTGTACATCCCCACGACTATTCTGTAAGAACAAATTTGCACTTCTTAACCCCTTCACCTTTTACAACCATCCTCCCAACCCCCTCTACCATCTGGCAACCGTCAAAATGTTCTCTGCATCTGAGTCTGTTTCTGTTCTGCTTGTTGTTCTGTTTTTTAGACTCAACAGTTGATAGGTATGTATTTATTGTCATTTTATTGTTCATAATTTGATCTTTTTTCTTCTTCTTAAATAAGACCCTTTAATATTTCATATAGTACTGGTTCAGTGGTGATGCACTACTTTAGCTTTTTGTTTGGGAAGCTCTTTTTCTGTCCTTTGTTTCTAAATGACAGCTTTTCTGAGTAGAGTAATTTTGGTTGTTTTTCATCAGGTCCTTGCTTTTCATCACTCTGAATATTTCTTGCCACTCCCGTCTGGACCGCAGAGTTTCTGTTGAGAAACCAACTGACAGTCTTATGGGATCTCCCTTATAGATAACTAACCGCTTTTCTCTTGTTGCATTTAAGATTCCCTCTTTGCCTTTAACCTTTTGCAATCTAATTATGATATGTCTTGGTGTGGGCCTCTTTGGGTTCATCTTGTTTGGCACTCTCTGTGCTTCCCAAACTTGTATGTCTATTTCCTTCACCAGGTTAGGGAAGTTTTCTGTCATTATTTTTTCAAATGGGTTTTCCATTTCTTGCTCTCTCTCTCCTCCTTCTGGCACCCCCATGATGTGAATGTTGGTGCACTTGAAGTTGTCCCAGAGGCTTCTTACTCTATCTTCAATTTTTTGGATTCCTTTTTCTTTTTTGCTTTTCTGATTGGGTGTTTTTTGCTTCTTATATTCCAAATTGATTTATTTGATTCTCACCTTTCAACTATTATACTGTTGATTCCCTGTAAATTAGTCTTCATTTCAGTTCGTGTATCCTTCATGTCTCACTAGTTCTTTTTTGTGGTTTCTATGTCCTTTTTCATGCTGTTGTAGTTCTAAGTAAGTTCCTTGAGCATCCTTATAACCATTGTTTTGAACTTCGTATCTGGTAGTCTGCTTACCTCCATTTCATTTAGTTCCTTTTATGAAGATTTCCCCTGTTCTTTCATTTAGGACCTGTTTCTCTGTCTCTGCGTTTTTGGCTGCTTCCCTAAGACTGTTTCTATGTATTAGATAGAGCTGCTTCATCTCCCAGACTTGGTAGAGTGGCCTAATGTAGTAGGTGTCTTACAGATCCCAGTGGTACAGCCCCTGAGGCACCTGAGCTGGGCACTCCAGGGGTGTCTTTGTGTGGGCTATGTGCACTGTCCTGTTGTAGCTGACGTTTGATTGCTGTTGGCATCAGTGGGAGGGATTGACCACAAGGCCAAGCGGCTGTGAGATCCAGCTCTGACTACAGTGGAAGAGCTGCTGTGGAGGAGCCAACTCTACAGATCAGGACTTGCTTCAGCGGGGCTTTGGTGCTCACTGAACCCACACCTTGAGTGTGGCACTTGTGGAGGTGACAGAACTGTAATCCAGTATGGTCCGAAGCTGTCCACTGGGTGCACTGGCTCTGAGACCTCCTGGCAGGTGAAAGGTCAGCCACCGCCTGTGCACTGCCTGTGCCCTGCCTGGGGTCACCCAGAAGAAGCTACGGAGTAATCTGCAGATGGCTGCTGCTTGTGCTGGGCTTGGAGGTGTCCAGGAGAGGCTAAACTGCAAACCAAGGCCGGCTGCTGCTAATGCCAGACCTGGGGCAACTTGGCAAGAGTTACAGGTACACCAAGGCCTGATACTGCTTGTTTGCAACTTGGGAACTTTTGAGGGATTTTTAAAAAGTCTCCACAAGGCAGTTTGGATGGAAAAGCCACAGGAAATGGCCTGGTGGGCTGGCAAGCTGGGTGGGGCGGGCTCTCAGCAAATCACCAGGGTAGGTGAACAGTGTGAGCGAGGTTTATGGAGACTCAGACATGGTGCCCACCAGGCAGTTCTGGGTTTTTTTTGGTGGAGGGGCGGGGGGTGGGTTTCTCTAAAGGAATAATGGCTTCTGCTAGCACTTTTGTCTGACATAAAGTTGCCCCCCTAGTTCTCACCTAGATGTCAGATAATTCAGTTCTTCCCCGTATATCCCTGAAACCTTCAAGGTGCTGCCTCAGTGCTGAAGCTCAGAGAGAGTGAGTCCAAGTCCATGCGCCAGCCCTTTAAGAGGAACTGCCTGGGACTCAAGAAGCCCTCTGTCTCACTCAGCTACAATCCTTGCTGGTTTTTACAGCCAGAAGTTATGGAGACTTCTCTTCCCAGCACCAGAACCCCAGGCTGGGGAAGCTGGTATGGGGCTAGGACCCCTCACCCCTCAGGGTGGTCCTCAACAGCTGAGAGATCTCTCCCAATTTTTAACCAGCACACGTGGGTATGGGACCAGCCCATTCTGTGTCTCCATCCCTTCTACCAGTCTTGATGTGGCTTCTTTAAATCCCCAGTTGTAGGACTTCCATTCATCTAGATTTCAGGTGGTTCTGAATGGTGTTTGTTCTGTAGTTTAGTAGTAATTTTGTTGTGGTTCTGGGAGAACTGGAGTACCGCATTTACCTATGCCGCGATCTTGACTAGAAGTCTTCTCGGTTCGATTTAAAATTCTTTTAAATAGTCCTGGCCAGGTGGCTCAGTTGGCTGGAGCATTGTCCGATACACAAAAAAGGTTGCTGGTTCAATTCCCAGTCAGGGCACCTGCCTAGGTTGAAGGTTTGATCCCTGGTCAGGATGGGTACAGGAGGCAACCAACTGATGTTTCCCTTGCACATCAATGTTTCTTTCTCTCTCTTTCTCTCTCTCTCTCTCTTTCCCCTGTCACTCCCCCTCCCTTGAGTGAGGATTGAAAGAAATGTCTTCAAAGAGTTGAACTCTGCCCTATGTAATTAAGTAAAACGTTCAGTAAGAGCACCCATGCAGACCTTACAACTATCAAAGTGTCAGTCTACTTTTTGTTTCTCCTTTGGAATAAAGTAAAAGTTCAGTTTACATAACCTCTCATGACACGGGTCGTCTGCACCCGCAAAGGGAGAACCAGAGGTACTTGTGTACTTCTAGAGTCTGGAGGTCTGATCACTGTGAAGCAGGACTGAGGCTTTACTACACAGTGGGAAAGGACTTTCTTCAGTTAACAAAATTTGCTTTTAATTTAATAAAACTCACATTTGTGCCACTTTTGATTTTATAACAAAACTCTTCAAAATATACTAATTAGTCATTAACCAATGAAACATTGAATATAACAAGAAAACTATACCCAATTAGTCATGTAAAATCCTAACCAATAACGTCCCTAAAATAGAATGATTTCCTTATAAAACACAAGCAGTAAAAAGTTTCCAGGACCTTAACTGTATTTATATTGTACTAGAACTCATGTAATATACGTATTTATTTATAAACATTCTTCTTGAAAAATGGTGCCTTTTAAGTAAACAATCTATTATTTGCATGTATTTCAATTCATAAGTCACTGCACTAAATACAGAAATTAATATTTTAAATTACTTCCAGTATGCCGCATTTCAACAGTTGCATAGATCCAATATAAAACTGTTAGTAGTGTCAGCCAAGGGAACAGAATTAATTATGCCTAATTAAACAAAAACCTATGTACATTAAAGCGCTGAAAACACTCTGACAGGCTTACTTGCGACTCCTGACGCGAGCCCGTAGAGCAGTCCCCCGCCCTCCGACTGCTGAGGGAGCGCGTGAGCTCCTGGAGGCGGCGGCTTTTCTTGTCTGATGAAGTTATACAATAAGGTTTTCACAAGTTTGCTGGTGTATGGAAGACTACACAGAAAGAAGAAAGAAGAAAATCAAACTCACACTTATGAGAGTCACCTGATTTTATGTAATGATAAATATGATCTACAGAATCTAGTAAAACAAAACAATTAGCACAATTTAAAGTCTAGCACTGTCGTTTAATAGTGAAGACCATGGTGTTTGAGGTCACACTTGAGACTTAATTCCATCTTTCCTCCTTAGTGTGCCATAAGGCATTGGTCAAATCACATCAGCTCTTGAACTTAACTTATTTGTAATCTGTATAACAGGTGAAAATAATAAATTCAGTGTATAATATAGTACATGGCACTTGAAGGGAGGTAGTAATGTAGAATCAGTAGGAAAAAGGAAGAATTAGAAAGCAATAGTATAAACTATACTTTTTAAGAATGGAAGTATTCAATTTATGTATGCATACCCAAAAATATATCCATATGTACACAGATTTTTAAAATATTAATACTCTTTGCTTTTAAGTCATGGGATAAGGAGAAGAGAGAGAAAATAGGTGAAAAGGACACATGCCCCAAAACTGGTGATAGATCAGTTTCTGCAGTCTACACCAAACTTCTCAATAGACTCTTAAGCCAATAGCTCAGGCCCTTTCCCTATTACCAGTGAGCGTGCCATGAAGGCAACCAAGGTAGTAAGATGGATGTGAGGAAGACAAAGCTCCCAACTCCCTGAGAACTTTAATCTAAGCTACTTTATTCGTCTTTGCTTTACATTACAAAATTCTGCAAAGACTGTGTCAATAGAAGGTAGAGGTGTATGTGTATGTATATTTAGTATTCATCTGCTCCCATCTCAAAGACTGCAAGCTTCTGCTCAGAGTTCAGCCTCCCAGCCTAACATGCCTGGCACATGGTTAGCACTCAATAAAAATTTGTTGACTAAATGGAAGTAGGAAGAGTCAGTTTAGAGGCTGCAGAAGCAGTCCAAACACATGGCAATGGGGCACAGATTACAAAAAGTTAAATGGGCCTGGTGAAAAGGGGAAGATACGAAAATGATTTCCATGAACAAATATGACCGCATGACCACTGAGACAGAGAGAATGCTAGAGAAGGAAGAAGAGAAAGATGACTTCAAAGTTTCAACTCTACAAAGGAAACACTGTAGAAGGTAATGCTGGGGGATAAAGGGACCAGGAACGATGGACAGTTTGGACAAAAAACAGAATTTGGTTCCTTATGTGTTAGGTCTGAAGTGCTAACAACAACCAGAGGAACAATACTATGGTAAGAGCACAAGACCAAAAATATAGGTTTATACAATTAAAATCTAGACAAATCTATTTTTTATTATTTACTTTTGAATTTTTAAATTATAGTTGATATTTTATTTTATTTATTTTATTTTATTTTCAGGGGTACAGCATAGTGCTTAGACAATCTCATAATTTACAGTGCCCTCCCAGTATCTCCAGTACCCACCTGGCACCATACATAGTTTTTGCGATATTATTGACTGTAGTCCCTATGCTGGCCTTCACATCCCCATTGCTATTTAGTTAAAAACCTTGACAAATTTAAAAGAGAAACATACCATCGACCTTGCATCAAATACTTGTGACTGATGCTCTGTCGCAAAACTTCCTTATGGAAGAGCTGGCAGGAAAGGAAAGCAACCATTGTTGATATAGCTTCTACTGATATTTCATATGTAATGTCTCTGGAGAAATAGGAAACAAAACAGAATAATGATCAGTTTGGAACATTAAGATATTGCTCTTTTCTAAATAAACTACACATTTGAGGACTCAAAACTAAATATTCAATATGTTTCTGGCTTACAAAAATATACTAATATGTTTAACATAAAAAGTAAGTTAAGAACAAATATGAAACCCTTTCACAGTTATTAGCTCTGGTACTTGGGTCAGGCATTCCATTACTTTTTTATTTTCCAGTTCCCGTCTCCCACTGAACAACAAGTCTATTAGTGTATAATGGAAACAGTTACTGCTAGTACTCTAAAGATCCACTCTAAAGCCCTTACGTCCATCCTTGTTTAATTGTAACCCAGAAACAAATATTCAGATTGTAAAACTGAAGAGAAATCACAATATAGGGAGGAAAACAACGCCTTTTCAAGCTGACAGTCACTGTACAATGAGAACCTTGGCAATACCCTAGGTCTTCTATCTCTAGCGTCCATATTGTCAAGGCCGACTCTGCAAGTTCGGCAAAGTGTGAACAGTAAACAAATTATTCCTGTTTATTATGCATATTTCTTTTATGAAGGACTACTTTTGTCCTTCCAAGATCATTATCTCTTCTAGAAACAAATCTTAGATCAAATAAAAAAGAAACAAAATTCCGGCCAAGAAGGGAGCACACACACAGGAATAAATGCATAGAGAAATCTTCAGTCTTTGCAAAAATTTAAATACCATTATCATGGGGACCAATAACATGTTAGACCAGGAAAGTGGGAATCTCAACAACACAGCTGAAAGAGTAATAACTCCAAAATAATACCACAATATTTTTACAGAACTGAAATATCCACGGAAAGCCCCCCCCCCAAAAAATACGTACTACCTACTTATATGAGGCTTATTAAAGATGACTTGATTCTAGAACGAAGCAAGCATAAATTGTACCATAGCTTAAGGAGCTATTGCTGATAGAAATATCTTTACAATGCAAAATACACAAAACACAAGAGGACCATTGAAATGATCTTCTAAAGGCCACACAGAATAATCTGAATGGAATGATCTAAATTCTGAATGTATGATCTAAATTCTCTGCAAATTATCTTAAAGTCAGTGCAATCACAACCAAAATTTTCATTAGATTTTTCTTCAGAAACTTTATAAGTTGACTCTAAAATTTTTATGAAAGAATAAACAATTAGCTAAGTGTATCTTGAAAATGAAGAGTGAAAGTACAGACTTCCTCTACCAGATATCAAGCTGTGCAGTACACCTGGAGTAATAAAAACAGCACAAAAATATATCAAACCAATGGAACTCAACTGAGAACTGAATGTATAGTTCAGACCTGTGTATATATGGAAACAGTGTATAATAAAGATAGACCCACAAATCAATGGAGAAAAAATAATTGTATAGAAGACGGTGCTAGGGAAAACTGGCTCATTTCATAAAGAAAAATAATGATTTGTCCCTATCTTAGATCAAATACCTACTGCAGATGAATTAAAGACGTGGATGTGAATGGTAAAACTATAGTTAATAGAAGAAAATGTACAATGATACATTTGTAACATAAGCATAAGAAAGGACTTTTTAAAATCAAAGTTGAAGAACACAAACCATAACGACAAAAAAACAAAGGCATTTAATTACATCAAAATTAAAGATTTTTCTCAACAAGTAAAGCTCTGGACAAAGTTAACAGGAAGATGATGGACTGGAAGGAAGAACAAGAAACTAATATCTAGAATATTACAAGCAATCCCTGCAAATATCAAGAAAAAGGCAAGAACTCCACTAGGGAAAAAAAAGCAAAAGATGTAAACAGTTTAAAACAATATGTTATCCTCTTCTGCCCTGGAAAACGTAAAGCAGTGGCAGGCAAATGATGATATACAAACCCTTACATACATACTGCTGATGCAAATGCTAATCGGTCAAGTCATTTTAGAGAACAACAAATGACCCAGTATATGTATATGCACCTAAGGAAATATGTCTGAGGACTGTGGAAGGCACCCTCTAAGTGGGCCCAATAATCCCTGCTTCCTAATAGTCATGCCCTAGCGTAGGTTCCTCCCCTTGGAGTGTAGGCTGGAACCTGCGACTCGCTTCTCACAAAGACCTTACAGTAGAAGTGATAAGATGTCAACTCTGAGAGATTAGCTTACAAAAAGATGATGGCTTGTGTTGGGCACACTCTCACTCTTCTACTCGTTTTACCTAAGGGAAGCCAGCTGCCTTGTTGTGAGCTGACAAATGGGAAAGTCCACCTGGCAAAGGCCTCCAGTCAACAGCCAGTGGGGAGCTGAGGCCCCTAGTCCAACATCTCTCGAGCGACTGAATCCCACTGAAGGCCCAGTGGGAAATCTAGGAAGCAGGCCCCCTCTAGCTGAGGCCCCAGCAATAAGCTCAACTACAACATTATGAGACTTTTGAGTCAGAGGCACCAAGCGATGCTGTACCCAGGTTCCTGATCCTAAAAAATGGAAACGTTTTAAACAGCTAAGTTTTAGGGGCTGTATTATGCAGTGACAGATAAATAGTGTAAAGACGTTCATTATCTGTGGTGGAGCAAAGTCGGGGGCAGCCCAGGCGTCCATTCCTGAGGAAGTGCTTGGTAAAATGTGGCGGATGCACACAATGGAGCAGTTTTAACAGCAACTGACTAATTGTCCGTTCAGCATCAGAGGTAATCTTAATAGTTCTGAGAGGAAAAACTAAAACACTGAATGAGTTCTGTAACACAATTCTATATATTTATGTACATTAAAAATATATTTACACATAAGAATAACATTTTGTATTTGAACATACAACATAAATATATGCATTAAACAGACTAAAATGGCTGTTTATGGGAAAGTACCTAGTAGAACTTAACATACAATAGTAGGTACTTAACAAATATTAAATGGAATGAGCCATTTACAACTTTATATTTAAAATTTTTAATATGCTAAAGTTATCTGCTTTCAGAAGTTGGATATGTCTAATTAGTTTTTATATTGTTGCCATTTGTAAATCACCACAAACTTAGTAACTTAAAACAGAATACCGTATTCTGCTGTGTAAAATGTGCACTTTCTTGCTCATATTTTTGAAGGAAAAATAAGGGTGAGCACTATACATGGGAATTAGGGCTAAAATGTGGGTGCGCATTATACACAGCAAATATAGCAAATCTGTTACCATACATTCTATAGTTGCAGTACAGGTTTTAAGGGGTTAAAATTCAGGTATCAGCAACCTGCTTTCCATTCTGGAGGCTCTAGGAAAGAATCCATTTCCCGCTGGTTTGGGTTGCTGGCAGATTTAGCTCCTCCTGGCTGTAAAACACAGGTCCCCATTTTCTTGCTGGCTATAGCTGACGGCACTTCCCAGCTTTCAGAGGTTGCCTCATTCTTTGACTCACAGAGACCTCCCTCCATCGTCAAAGCCAGTAATGGCTCTGAATGACCCCCCATTCTGCATCTCTCTGGCCCACCCTTTCAGTCTCCTCTTCGACCTTAATTTAGGGACTCTGTGATTAGGCTGGGCCCGCTAGGAAAATAAAGGACAGCCTCCCCATCAAAAGGCCCTTAACTTTAACCACATAGTTAAAAGTAGTTTAACTTTAACTACTTTTAACCTAGTAGATGTTTCCTTCTGTTCCTACCTTGCTGAGGTTTCTTCATGAATGAATGCTGAATTTGGCCAACATATTGAAACATCATATAGCTTTTCTCATTTATTTTGTCATATGGCTTTTCATCATTTGGCTGAAACATCATATGGCTTTTCTCATTTATTTTGTCAATGTGACATATTATACTGATTGATTTTCAAGTGTTAATAATATTGCATACCTGAGATAAGCCCCACTTGCTTATGACATATTATCCTTTTCATATATTGTTTGATACAATTTGTTAATTTTTAAAAAAACATTTTTCTGCTTTCTTTTTATGTAATGCCATTATTAGGCTTTAGCATCAGGGTTATGCTGGCCTTATAAAACAAGCTATCCCATCTGCTTTTGAAACACTTTATTGAAATATGTACTTCATGATGTAATATTGAGCAAAGATAGCAGAATAGTATGTATCGTATGAATGAATATACATGCAGACGCTAATATGCAAAAAACAGGGGGGTCTAAGGGGAATAAATGGTCATGGAAAAAAATACAATAAAAATTTTTTTTAAAAAACAGCAATCCTGGGAGATAAGATTATAAGTGACTTTTATTATTTTTAAATTTTTACTTGAATTTATCGGGGCGACAATGGTTAACAAAATTATATAGGTTTCAGATGCACAATTCTATAACACATCATCTGCATATTGCACTGTGCGCTCACCACCCCAAGTCAAGTCTCCCTCCATCGCCGTTTATCACCCCTTTACCTCTCCTACCTCCCCTCACCTCCCTTGGCTACTCTGGTAATCACTGTTCTATCGTCTGTGCCTGTGTTTAATTTAAATTTTTAAAATAGGAAGGACATAAAGAAAATGAGTGAGAGAAACTGGTTTGCTTGAAACTGGTTGTCTCTACTGGGAAATTTCCTGGTTGGCGGGGGGGGGGGGGGGGGCGGTGGAAACATCACAAGAGATGGTCTGAGGGTAATACCTAATCTCATTTTGACCACATTTATTTTATGAACACTTTTATGTGTTTGGATTTTTGAACAATATAAATGTCTCATCTATTCGAAAATTAAATTAATCAAGAACTCAAAATAGAGGACTGTCATAAAATTGAACTTTTATTGATTAAAATCTGATGACATATTGAAACAAGAGCAAACAGAAAACTGAACCACACTGCGGGATGCTGTAGAAGTCATCAACCCAAACTGGAAAACCTAGGTCCTGCTTCTAAGGTCCCTCCGAAGCTCACTGTCTTACCTTCAACATACAACCATCTCTGGGTCTCAGTTTTCTTATTTGTAAGTAAGTACATTAGGCTAAATTATGTCTAATGTCATTTCTTGCTGTAACTTTCTATAATGCTCAAAAAAAAAAT